TTCCATCCATCCATCCATCCATCCATCCATCCATCCATCCATCCATCCACATCCATCCATCCATCCATCCATCCATCCATCCATCCATCCATCCATCCATCCATCCATCCATCCATCCATCCATCCATCCATCCATCCATCCATCCATCCATCCATCCATCCATCCATCCATCCATCCATCCATCCCTCCATCCATCCATCCATCCATCCATCCATCCATCCATCCATCCATCCATCCATCCATCCATCCATCCATCCATCCATCCATCCATCCATCCATCATCTTACGCTTGTTCCAAAGTCAGGTCGTGGAGGCAGCAGCTTGAGCAGGGAGGCACAGACATCTCTTTCCACAGCCACCTCTTCCAGCTCTTCTGGGATGACCCCAAGGCGTTCCCAGGCCAACCGAGAAACATAGTCTCTCAGCATTTCCTGGATCTTCTACAGGGTCTCCTCCCAGTGGGACATGCCCAAAGCACCCCCCTAGGGAGGCACCCAGGGAGCATCCTTACCAGATGCCCGACCACCTCCTCTCGATGTGGAGGAGCAGCGGTTTTACCCCGAGTCTCTCCTGGATGATTGAACTTCTCACCCTATCTCTAAGAGAGAGTCCAGCTACCCTGCAGAGGAAACATTTCAACCACCTGTATCTACGATCTCATTCTTTCGGTCACTACCCAGAGCTCATGACCATAGTTGAGGGTAGAAACGTAGACCGACCAGTAAACTGAGAGCTTCGCCTTAAAGCTCAGCTCCCTCTTCACCACAACGGACCAGTACAGAGTCCGCAATACTGCAGACGCTGCACCAATCCGTCTGTCAATGTCACGCTCCATTCTTCCCTCACTCGTGAACAAAATATAATTTCATAGTTTCATAATCCATACTGTGAGGGAGTGGTGGCGCAGAGGTTAGAGAAGGTGGGTCTGTGATCGGAAGATCTCTGGTTCAACTCCCAGTACGGACGCCATTAAAATGTGGGTAGGATTGGTGAAGCACCCACACCTGCCTCCACCCTCATTTGCCCCACTCTGGGCCCTTGAGCAAGACCCTTAACCCCCACCATTTGCTCCCTCGGGCGCCCTAGATGGCAGCTCTACTCCACACAGAGGGCTGTGGTAGCTCGTTGGTCTGTGGTTGTGTCAGGAAGGGCATCCGGCGTACAAACAATCGCCAAGTCTTTGTGCGACTTAGTTCGCTGTGTGACCCCTGAAGAATGGAGCAGCCAATCGAAGAAAAAAAAAATCCATACAGCAGATGTCAACTGGTTAATTATTTTTAACTAAAAAGTTGTCATCTTTCAATCTAGAAGAAACAGTTTAAACATCAGACAAATGAAGCACTTCAGCAACAAAAGGGAGGAACTCCATGTAAACTTCAGCACCTTACTGTTGTGACAATAAAGTCCTCACACCACCGCCAGCTGTGCCTACAATGGATTACAAGTGTAAAGGGAAAATAGTGGAATTTATTTTTGTTACATTAGATTAAAATCTCTCCAAATGAAGTGTATTTGTAATCTAGATTTTTAGGATTACACATTGCATTTTTGTTTAGAAACACTGGATCTTTTTATCGCCGTTCATGGAAAAGTGAATAAATTGTTGACGTACTTTGCTTTAGATAAATTAGAAAAAAAACTGTTTAGTTTCAGTAACATTTACTAATTAGTTATTAATTAAAGTCATACTAATTTCTAAAAGATAGTGCTGCCATTTTATTTCCTGGTGGTCACTGCCCACCTTGGCAGCTGATACAAGAATCATTATTATTTCTCATAAAGTGAGGTTGTAAAAGCCCAAACAAATTAAACACAACTTTAAAGGCACTTTTGAGTCTTTATTTTATTATTAATAAAACCCTTCATCACTACTGATATGAGCCCAAGTCACTTTGCTGGCCTTACATGATTCACTTTTGAGCTACGAACTGAGCCAATTAGGCTTCCCTGTGCACAAATAAAGACGGGGATGGCACGGCGGACATATGGCGCTGCCTGAGCAATTAGTATGTGTAAATGTAGATCAGACATTATGAAGATGAGAGGAATAAAAAAAAGCCAACAGTGATTGGTATTTTAGGTGTAACAGCTCGTGTTCTTACGGTGAAAACGAAGGCTGGACTGACAATTGGCTGACTCTATTTTTAAAGTGAAGAAGTGAGTGGGAGCAGCAGATATTTGCCAGCCATTTCTTCTCAGCTCAAATCTGAAATGTAAATGAGAGCATGCCAGGAGTTGAGACATTTGAGGAAAGGATTTTCTCTTTGAACATGTGGCCCACTCAGTGAAATTCACTGTGACACGAAAAAATGGGAATTTTGATTGACTGAATTTCTTCCATTTCTTGTTCTGAAGTTTGCACTGAACTTTAAGGAGCCAGATAACTAAAAATGAATCAGCCTAAACTTGGAGAGACGGAGCCTAGTAAATTTTACAAAGAAAGCATCACTTAAAAATACCATTTTAATGGTTTACCTCTCTCTCAGACCTCTGTCTGGCACCCTTCCCCCTTTAGGCTATTTGGGTTGAGCCTTTGGAAGAAATGATTAAAAATTAATATTGGCTCAAGATTGACAGCAAGCACCATTTGATGTGAGCCACAAAGCGGCCACGGGCTTGTTGTTAGCTTTCTGGCAGTTTCACAGGCGCCACAAACCTTCAGTGAGGAGGGGTGGGGAGATAGGACGAGATGGACAGGTTGAGGATTTACTCGTGGCGCTCAAAGAGCTGCGCTCTGGTTATCTCTCAACAATATGCATGACAGCCTCTGCAGGACTACAGAGAGTCAGAGTGTGGAGGCATACTGTACCAGCAGCTCTCTGTCCTCCGTCTCCACCTCTGCCACGGCGGGTAGCTTCTTCGTTTGGGTCCTGATGTAGCACCTCTGATGTTCAGCAAACCGGATACCAGTGATCCCCTTTAAAAAAGAAAACGAAATGAAAGAACGCTCAGAAATTCAGATGTATGTATGATTCATTAGCTCTCTGTGATGTGGATGTGCCAAAAGAAGTGAGGCGTTCTTTTTAAAACGCTCGGCTTTTTAATTTTTTATTTTTTTTAAACTGATAATCAAAGCTGTTAGAAAAAGGTAAAACCTAATGAGAAACAAGAGGTGTGTTTTGATCCTAGTCTTCTTTTTCTCTTTTCCTCACAGCGTATATAACATTTATGACTGCTTGGCCCTTTCTGCTCTGCTCTTGCTTCAAAGCTGGATGGAAGGTGGGGGTGCTCCACTGTGGCTGCACAATGCTTCACGGTAGGATATATTGCACAGGAGAGCCGAGCGACATTGTTGAGAATGAAGTGTTTTCTACGGCGAGCGCCCCCATTGAATTAGCCAGTCATAGGTCCCTGTCACTCTCTTAATCTGCTCAGTCAAGTGTGGAGCCACTCTCTTCAGCTCCAATGATGATCCTCCACTTTGTGGGCTCCATTCTGTCAGACACACAGACCCTCAATAGGCAAGAAAGATCTGTTGATTTTCTCTCTTCACTATTCTATGTTAATGTAAGATTCAGCCAGAATCCATCTGAAAGACTTTCAGTAGTTCAGTTCATTTCCTTTTTTTTCTGCTTGTTCAGCTTCCTGTATTAGAACAGACAGCTCGAGCCACATCTGACACTGCTGCTTTAAAATTGCATGAACTGAAATTTGCATGAGCCGTGCCATCATAATGGACTTGATTCAATCTAGATTTAATTACACTGTTATGACATCCCCTATGAACGAGTTAACTTGACCATGTGGCAGGGATTTCTTCGTGTTTCTTTTTTTTTTTTTTTTTTGCGGTGCCGTCACTCTTGGAACCAGATACCAGCTGCACCAGAGACAGTACAAAGTGATGGCTGTCATGACCCGCCGCATGCGATTTCAGCTGTGTGGAAAAAGGATGGAGCAATAATATTCCGGAGCACAAAAGCATGATGTTTTTGCCGACTTTATTGTGATGAGTCTTTGTTTAATTTGGCTCTGCCGTGTTGGTGAGTCACAGCAGAAGGGAAGAGGGCAGTGCAGTACTGTGATGAGATGCGATGATTACCGGGCTTGGTCAAGCAGAAAATGAAGAAAGACACATTAACACAAAGAAGAAAAATGGAAAAGTGATTTGATTTTAATAGAAAATGCTGAAATAATCACATGTGAAAGCTCTCAGCCTTGGAAAACTTGTTAGTGTGTGCAATTTTTTCTGTCATTTGGAGCTAAAGCTGTGTCAGCAGGTGATCTTTAGAACAGCGTCAAACTAGTCTTTTCATGATCACATTACAAAATACTAAACTTTATTGCTTCAGGTTGACATGCAAACTAATCCCATGGGATTCAGCACAAGTTTTCTATCCTAATTGTTCGTATAGTTAACAAATAGCTCACGAATCGCTGGGCAGATTTTATTAAAGAGTTTAGAAAACATCCTTGGGTGTACATCTACAACTGAATAACTTTAAAATTCAAACCAATCCAAATTGTACGGTGGCCTTGAGGTGTAAATGAACATTTGACAAAACAGACTTACATTAAGCCAAAGCAGAAGTGGCCAAAGCGGAACTGTCCAGAATAGCATTTGAAAAATCACAATTACATAAAAAAAAAAAAAAAAAAAAAAAGAATAACATTAAGCCAAAGCAGAAGTGACCAAAGCAGAAGATGCCAAAGCAGAAGTGTCC